CTTAGGATGATTACGTCCTAGAATCATAAATGAAACAGGGCTTGTATAATGACTCCATACGTCATATCTTCATCCTAGGTAATAATTATAACTTTTATATTCCTTCGAGTCTATCTCCTAGACTTATTGACTACATGCAGTACTCGATCGTGCACCTGCTCTCTATCTCAGGTTAGACTCCAAATTGTGACCTATCATCATGTGATGCACGTTTAGACTCAGGTCTCTTAGAGTCAAATCCCAGAATGGAATATACCTTCCTTCATGTTCTAATGTGATAGAATCACATTTTAACATGTAGCATTTCTAGCCACTAACTTCTTGAACAACGAGCGCAATACTTCTATTAATCGCTTTGATTATCTCTCACTTTAATCTTCTGGCTTAGGTAAGATGCTACATCAAACTTGGTTCTCTGAACCACGTAACATACTTATCGTATTCAGACTCAATTTGATATGACCATTAGAGTCAAAACCACAATCATCTTCTTAATCATTACCGAAACGATGGTAACGACATACTTGAATAAAACGAAATCAATTACTAGCTTCTTGGTAACCTTGTGACTTTCCCTAATCCAAGTGTGAGTCCTGTGCTTCCGGTAGTATAGGCCTCTACTACCATTCACACCTACTCATACTCGTCTCAAGTATTGTCTCGTAGTTCTCCAAGTTATTATCACAAAAACAATTTTAACACATACAAGTGTGTCCAAACAATCATATAATTTTCTCTAGACGCTACTAGGACTTCTTCCATGCATATCTTCAATCATCAATTCTACGTCAACTCAGTTAGTGGTGGAAATGCCATACGATTGATAGGTGCATTTGATGCACCTATTTTACATGATTATTTCCGTCTTTTTATAGCATTCCACCTCATAATTCTTGCATTTAGTTGATTATTAGGGCAATTACATATTTCATTAAGAATGCCTGGTACTTCACTATTTTTGATTTATTTTGCAGGCATTATGGAGCATGGAACGTGGAGCTTGGATGCATGGATGCTTGGAGCGTAGAGCTTTGGAACATGAAGAGAAGATGAACCAGTCATTCCATGGCAGAAAACATGAAGATGGAGCCAACAGTGAAGACTCTTTGGAATTTTAGCAAAAAGCATGGGTCATGCCAAAAAAACACATGGTCAAGACAAATGGCCATGCCAAAAAAAAAACACATGGGCAAAAGGCATGGCCATGCTAAAAACGCATGGCCTCATGGCATGTCACGTGAACTTTAATAAAAGAGCAGGAGACGTCATTTTGAAGAGAGAACGGTTTTGGGAGCAGTTATTGGTGATCTAGGGCAATTTTGGGAGAATTCTTGGAGCTTTTGAGAAGACCTAATCATTGCAAACATTTGGATTTGATTTTTGTAAGGATTAAACATTCCAATTCCATCTTTATTCTTGTTTGATTTGTTCTTAGCCATGTGTGGCTAAGAAACCCTAGTTTCTAGTTCTTGTTCAAAAAATGTTGATTGCTTGACTTGAAGCATATGATTTGATGTTTGATTTGTGATTCTATTCTAGTGATTATGTTTTTGTTTAAACTAGAATCCTTGAATTTGATTTGTGTTTGATTGGCCACTTTCATGAATTGAATTTTTGTGCAGTTAATTAACTTTTAGGGCACCTAATCGTTCTATTGAGTTAATAATTGGTAACAAGCAATAAGTTTTCTTATTGTAAAACATATATCACATGTTTTCACACTTCCGAGCGTATGAGAAGAAATGAACATTGTTGGGAAGCTTGTACAAAACTTAATGTAGTTTTTCAATACAATCTAAGAGCGTGTTTAGGTTGAATTAGTAAAGCTAGGTCTAATCAAAGAGCGTGTTTTGGTTAGATAATTTGGCAAGCGAGAGTTATTAGAGCGTGTTAATATCTTTCAGTACCAACATAGAATAGCAATCTTGAATTACATCAAGTCATAATCAAGTTGAACAACAACATTGAGAACTAGAACTAGAACCATTCAATCAATTTGTTTACAAATCTATTTCATTTTGTGCATACTTTTAAAGTAGATTGTTATTTAGTTATTTACTTTTGCAAACAAACCCCCTCTTTGTGACCAAAGTACCTTGTGCAAAAAGGTATAGACTTTTGTCCTGTGTCTCTGTGGTTCGACCCTGCTTGCCTTGTACTACTTTTTAGTGCATTAAAGCAGTGTATTTGGAGTCTATTGTACCCTTTTATTTGTTGGATCTTGTTGACACTACTAGAAAAAAGGCCTTTTACGACGCTCATTGCGCATCGTAAAACGCTCAGACGACGCGCAAATGCGTGTCAAGGAAGGCCCTGTCATAAAGAGAGACGACGCGCTTTTGCGCGTCGTCTATAGACGACGCGCATTTATGACGCGCATTTACGACGCGCGGTTATGACACGCAATGCGTATCAAGGAAGGCCCTGTCATAAAGGAAGACGACACGTATTTGCATGTCGTAACCTTACGACGCGCGTGTTTATGACACGCAATGCGTATCAAGGAAGCCCCTGTCAAGAAAGGCCATGTCATAAATGAAGATGACACACATTTTTGCGTATCATAATTTTAAATGTTCTAAAAAATATTTATATATTTATTAATTTTTAAATTAAATTTGCATTTAATGTCTCATAATAGAAATAAAATATCATATACAAAAAATACAATCCATTGCATAAAATTTAATGTCATACAATTCTATTTTTTACAATATCTAAGTTTGCATCTAATCTACTCTCTACATCAAATTCCAACTAAGTAAAGTTGCATCTTGCCTTTCATAATTCTTTAAGACTAATGCTCCAAACTGCTGTTATATGGATAAGAAGTTGTACATTGGCACATCTCACTTAAGAATGACTTAGCCAAATTCAACTCCAAGTCTTTACTGCATCTTGCTTATTCTATCAACAGGTTAGCTGCAAGAAGCACTGATAGCAGATGCCATCCTGCACCCCAGTTCCTGTCTAGCATCTGCAATCAATATATCCATATATTCATTTACCCCAACACTAATACTAAAAAACTTACAATCCTTTATTCATAATTCAAATATATATATATATATATATATATATATATATATATATATACACACACACATTAAAGAGATGTGTACTTACTTGCAGCCCAATATTTCCATGTGATGAATTCATGTTTAGAGTTGGTAGGAGGAACTCACGCAAGCAAGAAGGATCATTTCCCTGCAAATATAATGAGAATAAGTAGATATTACTTTGCTTTGAAGCACCATCAACTAGAACCCATTCTTGCAATGAACTAGCTGACATAGGTACATCTATGTATATTATCGCCAGATTGTTAAAAGGAGCAGACAATCCTGTTGTTACAGTTAAAGTTGCCTTGTAACATTATGTATCAGCAATAATCATATTCCTGGTGACTAAAAATGAATCATATGAACTAAAAATGAAATGAAAAAAATACAAAGAGTTTACATTTCCAAATAAAACAGAGTATCAGATAGTTTAAAAACTTGTTAGGGATTATGAATTTGATTTGTTATAAATGTCAATCAATATGATTTTATTTAAGTTTAAAAATAAAATCATAGTAAATTACACATGTCATTTTTAGAGAATTAGAGAAAGAAAAATCAAAATTGTGAGAAAATAACCGACCCCTGGTGCAGGGATGAAGACAAGCTCTGCAATTGAGTTCGTCGTTTCTTCTTGTTCTCAAATGCTCCGTTTGAAGTTTTATTTTTATGTCACTACTAGAAAGACAAGCTCTGCAATTATGGGTAGTTAATTTATATTTTTAACCAAAAACCCAACAAGAATTGGCAAAATATTTATTAACCCTGGGAAGAATTTCAAATGAACAACAACAGCAACAACAGAAGATTGTGAACCAACAACAAGCTAGGGCTATTGAAGACAACAAGCTGATGCAAAATGATGTGATAAGGAAATTGGATTTAGTGGTGGGAAAGGTGGAGAAACTAGACCAAGGAAAGAGAAACGAAACCCCCAACTCAGGCTTGAACACTCCAGAAATGAACCCTAAAGAAAAGACAAAACTACCCCTACTCCACCAATCAATTCCAGCTACGTACAACTTCATGGTTCCTGATTCTTTTTTGCCTTTCTTGGTCCTCCTTTGATAGACGAACAAGGATGGGGGCTTATCATATACACAACATATGTTCATCCCCCTTTTACAAAAATCAAGTTTTCTTATCATATTTATATAGAAAACAAACAATAATTTACAGCTCTGATTATATGATATCATTGGTACACAGAAAGAAGAACACGCAATGAATAGAACATAAATTAGATAAACAAAAATAAATGCAGAGAGATGATAACCTTCACAAATGACGTTTCTTGATGAGTATAACTTCAGATCAACTTGAAAGAAATCTTAAAAAGAGGATTACTAGTAATAAGAATGGTCGAATGAAGCCCTATATAGAGACGATATGCTGCCATACGTGGCTGATTTTATGTGATTTTGGAGATTTTGGTTGCTAATTTGTTTCAGATTTGGAGGGAAATCGATTGATATCTAGCTGATCAGAGTTACTGTAATAAAGTAACTTGTCAACAACAGATAGACACCCATAACAGATATATAAATCCACCCCAGAATCAACAACCTGTTCAGAAATGAGAAGAAAAGAAAGGGTATATCAGGGAAATTGTAAAAGTTAGCAAGAAATCAGTACAACATGATTGACAAATGATAACCAACCTGGATCAAGACATGTAATAAATCATTCCCAAATTTCTCTACAAGATCAGGATGTGTCACCAAGAAAGCTTCTTTTTCTGCAGCTAATGGAACTTCTTGATTTCTGGATACAACGGGTAGAAGTTGAATCAACAACTTCAAAACTTCATGCATTTGATTATAATGCCCACTTAATTTCTGGATGATGACTACAAAGCTCAATATATTTTTGAATTTATTAGGATACACCAATCATTGAACAAAGCACAAGCAAGCATAAATATGTAAAACTAATAAATCAACTGTTTTCTAATTCCCACCATTGCAACACAGAGAACCCAATTCTTGTGCCCTGAATAGATATGTAAAAATATAATAATTTGTTTGGCTTTTGTGATTATGAAGTTATGATAACAACCATCATATTCACTACAGGGAACTTGGCTTCAGTGAAACTGTATACCACTTACGATTGTGAGCTGAAAGAGCAGAATCTGTAACTGCAAATTGTGTGAAACAGGGCCTGAACCAACAGGGCCTGAACCAACATTTGGTATCAGAGCGGGTTGAAGCTGCAGGTTTGAGAGTCGGTGTAGAGAAAGGAGGAGCAGCCCTTGGCTGCAGGGCTGAGAACGGAAAAGAAGAATTATGTGAGATCAGCAGATAAAATGGTGAAGGGAGAGAAGAAGAAGAAGAAGAAGAAGAAGAAGAAGAAGAAGAAGAAGAAGAAGAAGAAGAAGAACATGAAGGGGTTGAGTCAAGTGAAAACCCCAGAAGCTTTGCAGACCAAGAAGTACTCAGTCACAGCCAAGAGGAAGGGTCATACCTGGTTTATAGCAGAAAGAAGAAAGACCGTTGCATAGCAGCAAATTAGAAAGAAGAATGAAGAATTGAAGATTGACTACTACAGTAGCGAAGGCTGATAGAAAGAAAGAAGAATGAAGAAAGAAAGAAAGAAAGAAAGAGAGTAAGAAAGAGGCCGGTTAATTACATGCTTACCTGAGAAAGATGAGAAAAAAAGCAAGTAAAAAAGGCTTATCAAGGTGTGATTGGCAGAAAGAAGCATGCAGCAAGCAAATACTTTTGATCAAGAAAGATAGCATGTAGAAGACGACTGTTGAGGAAGAAAACAAGCAAGCAGGTCGAAGCAGCAAGTGTGATCACATTTGCTGATCAAAATAAATTAAGAATGAAAGCAAGTAAGAAGGCTGATCATGTTTGATGATCTGAAGAAAGAAACACAAAAAGGAGGATCAAACCAGGGTGGTTCTCGACTGTGGTGTGTTCCTGTTTCTGCTGTGGTGTTGATGGCTCACAGTGGTGTTGACAGTCTGGTTGTGATAGTGTGATCCCAAAGATAGCAAGCAGGTGGAGAAGAAAGACGCAACAGCAGAAAGTTGTTGTATGTTAGCAAGATTCGGTAAGCAAGAAAGCAAGAAAGCAAGAAGAAAGAAGAAAAGAAAGCAAGTAGCAAGAAGCAAGAAAGTGTAGCAAGCAAGAAGGTTGTCACATAGTTTGTAGCAAGTAGCAGACAAGACAATCATAGCAAGTAGAAAGTTTCGGGTTTGTAGCAAGTAGCAAACAAGAAACAAAATGCAAGAAGCAAGAATGAGACAGCATGAAAGAAAAGCAAGATAGCAAGCATGTAGTCTGTAGCAAGTAGTAGACAAGAATGAAATCAAGCAGCAAGAGCAATCTGTTTTGATTGAGGAAGAAAGAGAGAAGTTTGGCAGAAAAGGTTATGGTTTATCAGATTATCAACCTCCTCAAGAAAGCACTTTATAATCTACCATAATGTTTTCAACAAGGCACTTTATAATCTTCACCTGTAGTTAAACAAACCATAAAGAAATCAGCTTGTAAACAAGTTGAGAAAAAAGATTGATAAGGGGGTGTACCTCAATCAAACACAAATTAAAATTTGCAGAAGGCACTTTAATTTATTATTACCAACCATTTAAATCCCCCATTCTTTGCATTTATCAATACATTTGATTGCCAAAGCAGCCTCCTCTTGAAGCTGAAACTCACAGAAAACATTAGGGGTGTATATGTCTTTTGTGTTCTGGCATATAAAAAATGATAAGGGGGTGTACCTCAATCAAACACAAATTAAAATTTGAAGGGTAAATTAGTAGCTTCTTCATCACTGCATACTTGTATTATGGACGGACAATCAATCACCTCTTAAGTTACCTAAATGCTTTGCATTTGAACTCATCAGCAACGGTTTGTCATCATAACCTCCAAACATATCTGAATGTGATACCTGATATTTCTCAGTTGTATGATATTGTAAAGGTGAAACACTATTTGTAAAACCTGAATTATGTCTATCAAAGTTATCTACATAATCAAATTTCAGTTCTTTGTGGATATTATTTGAAGGTCCAGTCATAAGGCCATGAGATTGTTCACTAGCACATTCCTTATTCATTGTTATGCACTTCTTTTCATATTGAAAAAACATGTGGACTAAATTCATAAGTGTCTATAAGGTTCTACTTATAAATCTTTCTATTTTCTGTTTTTGTAGTGCAAGGCATAATATAAACCTGGATAGCAGCAGTTAAAGCATGACCAATGTGTAGAGCTCCAGTAACATTAGGAGGTGGAAGAACCTGCATTTACACATAAACAAGACATCCATAAACAAATTACATTAATCAATGGTTTTTTACAAGCCACAAGCCACAATCCCAAAATCAATCTGTTTAAAAAGGTCTATAGAAACGTCACTATTTATGAACATTTATAGACACGAAATAGCAGAGAAAATCACAAGAGACTCGTGATGGTGAAAGGAGGTTTAGAACTAAAACTCAGAATCTGTGATTCCAAAGTCATGATAGGCTCTGTCATTGAATTAATATAATTTAGCACAGAAGATTGTATCTTGAATAAATGGAATTTTGGTTTAGGAAAAGGTGAAACATCCGAACCCTAACGCACCTAAGAAATCAAACAAGAAGAATTAAAATAAGGGAGAAGGAACAAAGCATACCTGAGATGCTTAAAGAGTAGAAGTGAGGGCTGTGGAATGATAAGGAAATCGCCATTGAAACCTGCATAGTTTTTGAGTTAGGGTTTTCACAGGAGAAGATGAGAAGATCCAAAATCGAAATCAAAGCTATGAATAGAGGAGAGATTAAAGAAATAGAAGAACAAAAACATTAGGAAGAGAGAATAAACATAGCATATCTTAGTCGCGCTAGGGTGTGGAAATTTGAGCAGTCTCTGACGAGGTCACATGAGCCCGAGGTCGCCGGAGGAAAATACCCCTAAGGTCGTTGAAGGAGAAGTGAGAAAAGATGTTGCCGACGAGGTGAGGCGAGATCATCGATCGATTGTTGCAGAGGCCAGAGAGCACCAAGTGTTTCCGTTCTTGAAAAAAAGCCCTAGTCCCTGCGATTTTGTGGAATTTAGTAGTATTATCCTTGCTTGTCTTCTTATTTTCTTCTTAAATCTAAATAACAATCTCTATGAAATCGCAGGTTGGCTATTTAGGTTAGAGAGAGAGAGAGAGAGAGAGAGAGAGAGGAAGACGAAGAGCAGCAGGTTTTAATTTTCACATGGAATAGGCGGGGTTTTAATTTTTGGGGATTTCATTTCCCCCTTTAAAGAACGCGCGTTTTGAGTAAAACATAAAGCGACATTCACAGAGGGCGCACATTTTAGATAAAGTGCCCTCCGTGTTTTTATTTTTTTTTACATGAGACACTAATCTAAGGGCACGCAATAATGCGTGACATAAATCCTTAAATTTTTTTGAAGAGATGACACTTTTTTAATATCACTCCCTTTTGCGTAACATAAATCACCGAGTGTCGTGGTTTGCGCGTCGTTAAAGGCTCTTTTTCTTGTAGTGTGAAGATAATAGAGTTGCGTCTTGGGCCCTTTTGTTTTACAACCGGATTGGGCTTGTCAATCGGTGTTCAGCTAGATTAGCCTTATTATTATTAGAAAACTGTTAGGGTTTCATTATAAATATATGCATGCATGTATGCGTATAGGAATAGTCGTCACTCTCATTGAATATTGTAAACCCTAAAATCCTCTACAGTTGACGTTCTTTATCGAGCTCTTCTGAGGATTGTTTATTGAATCATTCGACACTTTTTGATTCATTAGCTTGTACCAGTGGAACGAAAGATGTTCCTCAAGAGAAAGAAATTCCTGCAAAAGAAGTCAAATCTCCAAGCAAAGCAACATCGGATCAGAGTGGTTCAACTAATGAACATAAAGCTAACGTCCATCATCGACTGAAGCAGATGAGAAGTCAAAAACGGGAAAGGAATCAGAGATACAGGAAAAATCTCTCCGAAAGAAAACAGTTTTGGCGATCGCAAAATGCCTATTTCTCACATCAAGACAGGAATTTAAAACCAGCGAAAAATCCTGATGGATCGACGGAGAGCAACAATAACCGAACGCAGAGTCTCGGTTCTGAGCAGGACAACAACCGGAAGCAGAGGTTCAGTTCTAAGCAGAACAACAACCAAAAGCAGATGTTCGGCTCAGAGCACAACAACAACCGAACGTATAGATTCGGTTCAGAAAATGATTTCAATCGAAAGCACAGGTTCGGTTCGGGAATTAAAAGAGGTCAAAACTCTAAAGTTGGTCCTTCCGTTAATCAAAAGCAAAAGAGTTACCCAGTCTCTTCTCGTTCTAACACTTCTAATTCCTCACAATCCTCTGTCTCTTCTCGTCCTCAAGTCCACTCTGTTTCTTCTCAAAAATCTCGGTCTTCAGCTGATCAAAAATGGAAACAGAAGGTTTCAAACACTGAATCAAAATCCATACTGAAACCATCAAATCCAAATCAAATCAAATTTTACACCATCAAAAGAAAAGATAATACAACAATAATTAAAAGAACATATGTTGTTGACATCTCTCTTACTATTCCCGTAAACAACTCACGAGGACCCAAAAAGCTCTAGGTTCCTAAATCTGCTTAATTTTTGCAGGTTATTAGTGACCAGCAGTATGACGAAGAATGGTACATTGATAGTGGTTGCTCGTGTCACATGACAGGGAGGGAGGAAGAACTCAGGTAATTCAGATCTCTTTCCAATGGTGGTAATGTCAAATTTGGGAACAATTCCTTTGGAATAATCAAAGGCTACGGGATGATTACAAACGGTGATTTCTCAATTAGGAAAGTTGCATATGTAGAGGGATTACAACACAATCTCATCAGTGTATCTCAGCTTGTTGGAGGTACTAGTCTCAAAGTCTCATTCGATGATAAAGGTTCGGAGATTATTGAGAAGAAGACGAACAAAGTTATTCTCCAATCAGAGCGCAAAGGTGAAATGTTTCCCCTAAATCTCAAACCAATCAAAGGAAACCTAACCATCTGTCTGTTATCCAAGGCACCATCTGACGAAAGCTGGCTGTGGCACATAAGACTCTCTCATCTCAACTTCAAAGATATCAACAAACTCGTCACTGGAAGTCATGTGAGGGGTCTCCCGTTGCTCAAATATGACAAAGATCATATGTGTGCTGCATGTGAAATGGGAAAGCAGAGTCGTCAAAGTCATCCATCCATAATAAACACTAAAGTCGTTGAACCACTGGAATTACTTCATATTGACTTATGTGGTCCATCTTCTATATATATATCGGGCCCCCAAACAATGCGGGCCCTGTGCGGTCGCACACCGGGCATATGTTCAGGGCGAGGTGCATCAAGTACATATCTTCATGCTGCTTGTTTTATGGCAACTTTAACTCATCTTATTACTCTTTTCCATCGTTACAATCATTCATCCCTCCACCATGTTCTTTCTTTTAAGTTTTAACTTCCTATTACATTTTGCGTTTTCCATTTGTGTGTGTGTGTTTTTTCAAAAAAAGTAAGAAATTGTTTTTTCCACAAATGTGGCTTAATCAAAGTGGAGAAAACTAAAGTTGCTGGTTTTTATAATGTTGATTTATGTATGTGATTTAAGTTGTATAAAGTAAACTAAAGTTTATATATATATATATATATATATATATATATATATATATATATATATATATATATATATATATATATATATATATATATACTTTGTGTGGTTTGGCGATTAAAGCTCGTTGTTGGTGAGTAAGGTGCTTCAATGGACGTCTCATATTGAAATAAAGGTGGCTACTTTGTGTGTAAATCTTCATAAAAAAAGTTAACACTAATTATCCTTAAACACTTACTCAAAAAGAAACTCCAAACACTAAATGAAACATTCACCGTTGAAATGGTCAATGGAAAGACAGAAAGCGCTAAAGATATATTCGTAGGATGCACATTAACTCTAAACAATCATTCCTTTCAAATCGACCTTATGCTGGTCACAAATAAGAAGCTTTGACGCTATCATAGACATGGATTGGTTAAGTCTTCACCATGCCAATATTCTGTGTTACGAAAAGTACGTTCGCCTTAACCTACCCAATAACGAAACCCTCATCATTCAAGGCGACAAACACGACGCGAATCTACAAATCATCTCCCGCATCAAGGCTCAAAAATATGTACGCAAAGAATATCATG